CCCAGAAAAAGAATTTTCCGAAATATTAGAAAAGGAATTACCGGCTATTAACGGTGCAAACATGGATCATGAAATTAATGAGAGTGATTCTAGCGCGAGCGAAGAACGGCATAAAGGGAATTCTTTGTCAAGTGAGAAAATATTCTTAAAGCAGTCTAACAATGAATCTAAGAAGACTGCATCGAAAGTTATAGAGAAAGAAAGCAATAAAAATGCGACAGAAATCATTAAAAAGACAATTAATTCTGAAAATGAGTTATTTACAGTAGGATTGACGCCGAGATTGGAATTATTTGCGGATGCAATACCCAAACTTATGGCTGAAAAGATGAGTGAAAGTATCGTGAAAGAGAACACAGAGAAAGCAGATTTGGCGAACAAAGAATCAGTTTGTTCAGAAACGAAGGTTGATACAAAAATAGAAGATTTAGCCGTCAACGTATCGAAGACTTCCAAGATGCATCATCAAGAAGTACCTGATCATGGCGTTTCGAGTAAAGCAATAGATGTACTTAAAACCGATCGCGTTGTTAGTGCACCAAGCAATAAGCAATCGAAAAAAGAGATAAGATTTTGCAAATCTAAAAGCTACGATCTCTTATGCCAGCCTCCTTTAAAATCCTCCCTCGAAAATATTAGGGTTAACAAAGCATTGGATGTGTCTAAGAAACCTGTAAACATTGTTTCTAAAAAGTCATCGGCAAAACCGAAAGTGCAATCTCGATCAATTTCCAAAGTCGCGTCGAAATCTAATTCATCTTCAAAATCAAAACTGGATTCTGTTAAAGTTGGATCCACATCCAGTTTACCAACTGCGTGCAAAGGATCCCAAATGAAATCGCCCGATAGTTACAGAAAAAATTTTATGGCCGCCGGTGATTCAAAACAGATTCCAATAAAACGTGATTGGGAGATGTTGTGTCGCGAGGAGAGACACAAGAACGCACTGTTGAAACAACAATTGGAGACCGAGGCAAAGCTGTACAAGAATCAAATTGAGGACATGCGTATGTCTTTCGAGGGAGAATTGTTTGCTTTAAAGAAACAGAATATAATTTTGAAAGCAAGAGTTGACGAGCTGTCTCTGAGCGAAAGGCGCGCAGAAATTCCTGTCAAGAATAACACGAAGATTACTCTTTTAGAACAGGAACTGGAAAAGCAGGAAAGTCTGATCCGCGCTTATGAAACCGAGAACAAGAAATTGATGCAAGATACAAAACGTATGCAAGAGGAATTGAAAAATTTGCAGTCTAAACAGAAGAGCACGGTATCGAAAATAAACGATACGCAACAGCTTGTTGATCGGGTGAAGGATCTCCAGGAAGAGACGTTGAAGTTGAACTTCGAGGTATCCGAGCTGAAGGAAAAGAATACCGATTTCTTGCTAAAGAATGACGATTTAATTCAACAGAACAGTTTGCTCACGGACGAATTGGATATGTTTAAGGAGCAGCTGAAAGTGAAAAATAACTTTATTACGGATCGGTTGCAAGTAATGACTACCACAGAGTTAGAACTTAAAAAACAAATAGAGGATCTAACTATCAAATTGAGTTCTAAGTCGGAGCAGTTGCGTGTGACTAAACAGGAGCTAGAGAAGTTTCAACAGGACGTACTGCCCTTGGAGAAAGAACTGTTGGAGCTCAGAGTTAGAGAAGAGAATATCCAAGAGAAATTACGGATAAGCAAAAGTCATGTCGAGCGTGAGAAACAACTGACTCAGAGACTCAAAGATCAGGTTATTCTGGACAACAAGAAAGTCATGGACCTGAACAGACAAGTACGTGAATTGGAGCGTATACTCAAGAGGAAGAATCCTGACTCGGTTTCGGCTCTCATATTGACCGCCAACTCGGAACAGGAGAAGATCGGTTTCGAGAAGGTAAAACTTCTGGAAGAGAGAATAATAAGTCTCGAGAACGAGATTAAAAACAAAGAGGATATCGCGCAGCAAAATCTGGTCGACTTGCAGAAAAAGTTCTCCGATATGAAAGAGAAATATGCAGTACAGGTAATGGAGTTAGAGGCGAAACTGTTGGAAGCAACCGTGAAAGAACACAAGTTATATAATGACATGTTCACGCAAACGACGGTGAAATACGTCGAGAGCAAGAGCATAGAAAATAACAAGAAAGACGACAAAGTTTCCACCGTGGAAGATAAGAAGGATCAGAAAACAATAAAGGTTGGACCGAAATCTCAAAATCCTAAGGAAGACACGCATCTCATTGCCACTATAAGAGGCCTGAAATTGGAGATTGCGAACAAAGACAAAACGGTCTCGAAGATAACCAAAGAATATCAGGAGCTTCAGAAGACGAATCGGCGATTGCAGAAGGAGCGGGAGAAATTGCTGAATGATCGCAGGAGTTTCAGGAGTATGGATTTCGATAAAGCGTTCCGAGGAATGAAGAATAGCGAAGGAAATGATCAGAATTCGAATGTTTATCAGAATGGGCACGTTTCTGAGAGGTTGTCATCGTCGACGCCAAAGTTATACGATCCAATGCAGTACACGGAGAACGGCAAAAACGGGATTATTAAGAAATTGACAAACGAAAACGATATTTTGAAGGAGGAACTGAGCAAAATGAACAAGGACTTTATGGCGCTGAAGAGCAAGAGACTGCATGATTTGAATCTCTTGCAGGAAGAACATGAGCGAGAGATGGCCACTCTTGTGAAAGAGTACAGCGTTAAGATCGGTGATTCTAAAGCGGTAAAGTTGCAGGTTTGTAACGCTTGGCGAGCACTTGGCCTGTTCCTTATTTATTGCACCAAGAAACCTAGTAGTTTTTAAAAATATATCTCTACTTCGCTTATTTGAGTAGAACAAGCCTCTGCTTCGCTTATGTCTCAACATATATCTATCATGGCTAGGAATTTTTACTATTATATAACTTTTATTATTAATAGAGTCAGATTAATACTCAGGGAGCAATTATATCGAACTTAAAAGATCAGGTCGAAAAGTTCAGAGACTACAAGGAGCAGGTGGTTATGTTGAAAGCTGAAAGAGAACATTTGGAGAATAAAGTGAAGACGCTGACCGAGAAAGTCAAATATTTATCAACGCCGGTATGTGAAAAACAATCGATTAAGGAAATTTTAAGGCATTTCTTTAAGGTAGCCACTGATGATATTTCTGTTTCAGGGAACAGAACAGTTGCAATTATTGCAGGACAAGATTACAATCCTCCAGCAACGGCATGAAAGCAGAGAGATGACTTTGCAAACGTTAATTCGCAATTTATTGAGGAATCGAACGCAGTGCAAAGATTGTAAAAACGAGAAGGGTAAAAATCGACAGCTTTGCTTCTTTCGGCAGGAGCTCGATCATATCTTAGGAATGCTACAAGAGATCACTAACGTCCATTGATCTTACTGAATAGAGAAATCATCTCTAAATAATCACACAACGCATTTGATGGTTATCGATTTATCATCGAATATTGTGATAATTTTTACAAGACTAAGATTCGCGATAGCTTAAATAATTCGAAAGAGGCATTAAATACTTTAGGTATCAAAACATAGGTACATAAACGCGTTCGTTTGTGACACTCAGCCAAAAAATTTAATCGATATTCCTATCGATTCTTCCATAACTGATGAGAATTACAATCTTCTTTCTTGCGTCCGTGATACCGTTCTTTCTGCGAAGTCGTCCATCGGTACAGAATTCGCAAAAGATTCGGTAGGCTCGGATCACTGCCAAAGAGAAAAACGCTACTGCGTAACATTACCATTAATATCTATAATAACGAACGAACGTATGATTGAATTACAAACTTTTCCGATGTCTTTCCGTCTTCAATTTTCTTGTCACTTGCGCGCAATGTCTCGGAACACTGCCCGCTATTAGTATAATCTATTTTATTGAATCAAAATAATTTTTAATTAAACTAAGTCATATATATTTTTAAGAATAGATTTTTTTATTTATTTTTATTTATTGACTATTGAATAAAAAAAAGCATGCAACGTTTCTCCAAATTGATGTTGCTACAGCTTTTGTTTTCTTATAATAACTTGTATAGCATGACAATTGAACGAAGGAAAAAGAAAAAATAGATATATAAAAATATCTTCGTAAGAATTTCTTCCAAAGTTAAATAATATCTAGTTTTTTACGGATAATTTTTTCGAAACTTTGCTGTATATATATATATATAGACGTTATAAGAGATAAATCGCTATATTTATTTCGGATAATACTCTACTTGATTTATTCGCGATCATCGAAGTCGAATCGTGCGACTATATCATGTATATCGTAAGTACTCTTAGTTTATTACTGTTGCCAAGCCTAGTTGATAATTCATGAAATTTAGCCTTGTTTGTATGCGTAATAGACGCAAGCACACCGCACAAATCGATGTGATCGAGACCTAAGGATGAGTAATCAGCAACAAAGAATATGCCTATCTTTTGTATTTTCAACACAAAATCTGCAGACTCTTGGAGACAATTATCTTCCTGAGACTTGGTTACATCGAAGTACACAATCACACTCTTTTTCTAAATAGATTTAAGCTTGTCACATGTAATGTACAAAATTCAAAATTATAACTTTAATAAATTTAATCTTTTCGCTGAAAGTTTGATATTTTCCTTGGCGGTAATATAACGCAACTTAAAAGATCGCTTTAATGAATATTTTCCTGTACTTGTTAAGTAAATTAAAATCTAAAAACCTTATATATGTGTATATATACATACACACACACACACACACACATATATATATATA